GGGTGTCATGTGGCAGAAAACCTACAGTCTTACTAGCTTGAGGTGACAGAGGTTAGGGAGTTTTTGTTTTTTCGATTAAGTGCCTTCTGTGACTTACGCATAACTATAGTGGCAGAAAGTTGAAGTTTTTTATTGGTTTGAATTATCAGATAAACAGAATTTGGAGCTCATAGAGCAGGTGGAAATTTATGGGGAAATCCCAGCTGCAAGAGAATTGCAGAGAAGATGAGTCCCAGAATTTGAGTATAAATTCTGCCCAAATCTTTGGCTGGCCACTAAATAACACAGATGCAAAAGAAATCCCCAAAGGGCTAGTCTAAAAACCAATAGTTGGTAGCTAAAAGAACCAAGCAGAAATATAAGCTGCTGCACACTGCGAGACAAACAAGAGTCTGTAATTTGAGTCTACACAAATTAACTGCCCATTACAAGGGAAATCCAGTAATCCTCAGAAGAACATAACATTATCCAGTCATTATACACATTATAATATTTTCAAGTTTTCAACCTCAAATTACTAAATGTGGAAAAGAAACACAAAAGTGTGATTTCAGGAAAAGTGTGACTCATGTTTAGTCATTGGAAAGTGACTCAAAATGGGCCCAGATGTTGGATTTAGTGAAATCTTTCAAAACAAGTAGTATAAATATGTTCAAAGAACTTAAGGAAAAAAATATTCAAAGAATTTAACAAACATATATCTTAATGAGTGAACAGATGGGGAATCTTAAAAGAGCAATGGAAACTGTAAAAAAGAATCAAATGTATCACATTGGTGATAGCAGAAGAAAGAATTTGTGAACTTGAAGATAGATTGGTAGAAATATCCAATATGAAGAACCAAGAGGAAAAAAAATTGAAGAAATATAAATAGAGCTTCAGATACCAGTGAGATAATATAATGATCTTAAACATATACATATATGTGTGTGTTGATATGCTAAATATGGTCAAATTTTAATATTTGACAAAGCCAGATAGTGAGAATATAAATGTTTATTATTTTTTAAAGTAATTACCGATACATGAAATTATCTTTATTTGCTTTTAAAAACTAATTTTGTTTAAGTATTTTGATAAGATTGTATTAAGTCTATAGATTGCTTTAGGTAATATGGACATTTTAACAGTGATAATTCTTCCAGTCCATGAACATGGAATATCTTTCCATTTCTTTGTGTTTTCTTCAGTTTCTTTCAAGAATGTCTTGCAGTTTCCAGTATCTCATACCTATTTCTTGAGCACTAAACCTGAGATAGGTTCACTCTTTAAACATTGCTTGCACCTTATTACTTGTTTGAGCAAAGACTCAAGATGCTAGAGCTACAAACACAACAGATTTTTCAGGCTTAGGAAAGAAGTATACAAGTAAAGACAGCATGAATAATTATTCTAAAGCACTGACAAATCTTAATATTTGCATTTGTATGCTTAATATTTGTATACTTTGAGACTGCAATCCAGAATGAGATTAAGAAATAGGATCTATTTTCTAGAGTGATATAGAAAATATTGATGTAGAACTTAGCCTAATGGTCTAAAGCCAGTGAGCTAAACTCTAGTTTGTCTGTGGTTAATGCTACTCAAAATAGAATATTACTTGGCCATGAGAAAAGATTTGAAATACTGCCATTTGCAACAGCATGGATGGATTGCAAGATAATTATGCTTAGGGAAATAAGTCAGACAGAAAAAGCTGAGAACCATATGATTTCACTCATATGTGGAATATAAAACTGAAAGCAACAAATGAACAAGACAGACAAAACCTCATAGACGCAGTCAACAGTTTAGTGGTTACCAGAGGGAAAGAAGCAGTGGTGGGTGGTAGGCAAGGGTAAAGGGGGCAAATATATGATGATGGAAGGAGATTTGACTTTGGATGGTAAACATACTATGCAATATACAGATGATGTATTATTGAATTGTATACTTAAAACCTATATAATTTTATTAACCAGTGTCACCCCAAATTAAGTTTAATTTAAAAAATAATAATTCTTATATATCTCTCACTTTACCCATTCACCTATCTTCCATGACCAAGCAGATGATGAGTAATTGAAACCCAGCTCAGTATAGTATTTTTAATAATAATTGCTCACTATTTTCCAAAATACTGCATTAGAAAAACTTGTCAGATTTGGATATACATTATTTTGAATCCTAAGTGGTACAATTAAGAAGTACAATTTAGCTTATAGAGCAATTGAATATGTGAATAATATTTTTTGGAGAGTATTTTTCATTTAGCAGAAAGATGTAGAAACTTTAATAGTGAGATACATGATCAAAATTGATATGTGAACTGAATGAGTTTTTTATTGCTAACAGTTTTAGTCATGAGTCAAATATAAATTATGTATATATGAATGACTTATTTATATCAGGGGTTTATTTTTTTTTTTTGGTCAGTAATTCTTCAAATTATGTAAGTTTTCTTACATAGAATGAAATACTAGCAGCTCAAAATTATGTATTTATATTGGGCTAAGTATATAAAATTTGGAATGTTAGGATGACACTTGATGGTGTTAGTTGTAAAATAACATTGGGATAAGGCGGATAGTACTAACTAGCCCACTTACTAATTCTTATGAGTTAGTAATGAAGCAAAAAAAAAAAAAATTAAACATCTCAGGCCAGCAGAATGTGAGATGCAAGACTGCTAAGGAATTCAGAATTGTATTTAAAATGCAATGTGAGCTCATCAGATTTAGTAAAGAATTATCTTTGGCTTTAAGACTTCACATGCTGTTTAAACAGAATAGAGAGCATATAAATTGTTCAGTGATACATGAAAATATTCACCTTAACAGGTAAATATTGGGAAGATGGACTCACCCATTGAAAAGTGGAACCTAATAATTGGCAACTTGGCTTTAAAACAGGTAAGTGATTCACAGATTTGTTTATAGATCTTGGGTTCCTTGTAAGAATGGAATAAATTTTAGTGCTATGAAGTCTATCATTTAGTTGTTTCAGGGACCCAAAATGGATATCCATGATTTCTGAAAGTTTTATTTCTCTAGAAACTGATGGTGTTCTTCTAAATATAAAGAAATATATAATACACAAAATATGGAATACATATGCAAAATATTTTCTATCGTAAGTATGTAATAGAGCCAAAATTTGAGTTAATATCTGTATAAATAAATATTTAGAACTTCATTTCTTAGGTGTGCTTTTTCTACTTTGTTTTTTTATGTAAATCCTCTAAACTTCGCCCTTTTTTTATGTATTATGGTCAGAGATTTGTTTAAGCTGAGTTTTCCTTAATTTGTCGATATTATTAGTGTTAACAAATGAACACATTAAGTCATCAATTACATATACACTAAACCGTGGATTACATATAGATTATCTATAGTTCTTTCTAATCTCAGGTGAATGAATATCTGTTCCTCTCCCACCAAGACAAGACTGCATCCCCTTAGTAACTCTAGCAAGTGCGAAGTTTGGAAATACTTATTTTAATGTTAGGCCAACTAGGACATAATGTTGAGAACATGTTTGCATAAAAGTAATTCAAAGAAATAAAGAAATTTTTGGAATATAGGCACTTTTGTTGTTGTTCTTGTTGTTTTTGCAATATAGAAAGAAAATATTGAATTGGCCAATTTGCAGAGAGCTTAGAGAGCTTCTACTCTAAAGACCTGAATCCTTGAGGGTGTGTAAGTTATAGATTAGATAGGGCAAAATCATAAGACACCATGGGTTAGGGGCTCAAGGTCATGCTGGCAGTTAATTGGTCAAAGATGAGGTCAGAATAATCATGTTTTCAGATCTTTAGGACAGTTCCGAAGCCTACTCCTGCATCCCTCTGTCTGATCTCATGAGAAGGTAGCCAGTGGGTTATTTCACCTTAGAGCTCAAGAGTTGAAACATAACTTAGGTCCAGATTATATCTTTAGTCTTCCAGAAGTCTAGACCTAGTGACATTAGCCAGGTCCAGGCTAAGTGTCTTTTGCTGCCTCGGGGATTGCTGATTATCTGGGAGAAAGGCTAGGTTTCTGAGAGGTAAATATATAGAAAGATATGATTTCTAGAGCTAAGATTTAAAGTTAAATTTAATCAGCCATAAGGGCCCTGGGTTAGAATATAGACTTTTTAAAAAATATCTGTGCAACTACTTCTAAGATCCCAGGGTTAGAAATGAGAAAATCTGGTGTCTTATCTCAGCGCTCACATTAACTATCTCTATAACCTTTGTTAACTTAACCTTTTTAGGCCTCATTTTCCTCTTCTAAGTCGCAGTATTGCATTAGAGCAGTCTATGATCCCTTTTTGCTCGAAACTGTAGGAATCTGTGCAGCGGTAATAATCAAAATAAATATCAACCAGTGGACTACTATAAATTAATCTATAAATTAAAATTTAAAAATATATTCCATTTTATATTTTAACTATCCTAAACACTGACCATGTAACCTGAGTTATAGTATAAAGTTTTCATCAAATCATTCTAATAATTTCCATCTCAGCTTTTAATTTTTCCTTCCATTCTTAGTATCAGCCCTTCCCTTCTCATCCTGTCTCCCTGCAACTGTTGGTCAGGATGGAAGCCACAGGTGGCTGGGGACTCACTGATCTTTGGTGCTCTGGCCTGAAGTCTGTGTCTGTGTCTGTCTCACTCTACCAAGGATGTATAAGAAACAGGGAACCCCACATAGGCCCATCAGACACAAATGGTGCTAGCCAGTGAGGCAGCAACTGGTTAGAACCCAGTTACCTGTGGACAAAAGCAGAAGGGAGAAGAAAAGGTCAGGTGGGTGGGAGTGTTGTGCTCTTTCTGAGGCTTTATCTGCTACAGCTTGCGAAGCAAGGGGAGGGGAATGGGATGAGCTGGCAAAGGCTTCTCTGACTGGAGACAGTCTGTGGGTAGAGGTGGGGGCATAGAAAGGACAGAGGAGGCACATGCTTTCATTAGCCATTAGCCGGGGTGTGTGCGCTCCTATTAAATGGGACCCCAAGCAGATTACCTGTTACTGATTTCTTCACAATTGTACAGGTGGCCACCTTGACCAGTGTGTAAATTGTCAAATAAAGCAAAGTTCCCAGTCTCATTGAAGAACCATTACCTCTCCAGGAGGGATGTAGTCTGCTCTCACATCTAGTTAGGCCTATGGCCCCCATTAACCTCCTCAGCTACTCCTTGACCCAGACTTTGCTCTTCTCTTGGGTACAATTAGGCATTTCTTTTGCAGGTTTATGGAATAGGACTTCCTCTTCTCAGCTGTGTGCTTGTTTCTCTTTCTCTCACTTATTCCCTCCCTCCCTCTTTTTCTCCCTCCCTTCCTCCCCTCCCCTCTCTCTCTCTCTCTATTCTCTCTCTCTTATTCCCTCCCTCCCTCTCTTTCTCCCTCCCTTCCTCCCCTCTCTCTCTCTCTCTATATATATATGTGTGTGTATGTGTGCCATATGCCATCATGTCTGCTATGGGCTCCCTAAATATGTACTTTATTTCCAAGAAATAAAAGTTCTGTAAAATCCAGAGCTCCCTGGTTCTGTGTTTTATTTCCAAGAAAAACCTTGGAATCACAGTGTTAGAATTTACATGATTTATTAATTTTACTGCGTTTACATATTATTTACTAACCAGTGTGAGACGCTGACATAGTATAACAACTGGTACAGCCATAGTGATGCTGACAGCTTGCATCGCAGCTCTGAATCCGTGGGTGACGGCAATGGGAGCTGTAATGAAAGATCATGGAGACAGAATCTAGGCTTCTTGGACTCACTAGCCTTGGCTCTTCCATTAATTTACAATATGACAGATATAGACTATTTGGGATTTTTTTACTCAGAGGCCTGGATTCCAGTACATAGATTGGCTTCAGAGAGTCTATGAGCCCCCAGGAATCCCACTGAAAATGTTGAATGCATCTGTGTTTTCACAGAGAAAAGAATCTATAACATTTTTGCCAGATTGTCAAAGTCCGTGACACAAGAATAGTTAAGAATCAGTGAACTAGATAGTTCCTTTAGAGTTTCCTTTAGTCCCGACATTTGACTAAAACCATTGTAAGAGTTCACAATTAGTGTTAATTTTTTTTAGTTGCTGTTTTTTTATTTTGTTGAGTGTTGCTTTATGCCACCACTGTGGGAAACACTTTATATATTTGTGTAATTCATTTAAGTCTCAAAACAACCCTTTCAAGTTCAGTATTACCATTGTCATTTTTCAGATTAGGAGCTAAAGTTTTTATAGCTTTAATCATAATTGTGATTATATGTACAGTTATTGTTTAATGTCTATCTCTCCCACCAACCAAGAGCTCTGAGAGCAGAGAATAAATCTATTTTGACCATGGTTGTAGCCCAACACCAAGCATAGGGCCTGGTACATAATAGATTCTAAATTAATACTGTTGAATGAATGAATTTAAATAATTTGCCACAAGGCTAAGTGGCATAGCCAGAAGTCAAACTCTTATTATTGGATTATAAAATGCAGCCTCTTGCCAATGCTGCCTCTAGCGTCAGACTTCAGTTTTGTGGGTTGGGTGCTTTTCAGTATTAAGGTTGGTATTTTATTGGATGATTTGTGAATTACGTCATCAAAGTCAGTTGAGGCACTTGTTAGAAACAGATTCCTGGACCCTATTCCATGTCTATTGCCACCAGAAAGGACAGTTGGAGAACCTACTGCCTTAGGGAATATTAAAACTAAATTTACTAGCTTCTTTAAAAGGTAAGGCAGCTCAATTACCATATGCAATACTTTCTTCTGACTTCTTGTATGCACATTTACATAATCAGATTTTAAAATGCGATTTTAAAATGAATAATTCTGTTGGATGTTATAAAATTTTTTTTTTAGGTTCAAGCAACCGTTGTTGGTTTTCTAGCAGCTGTGGCAGCCATTATACTGGGCTGGATCCCGGAGGGAAAATACTACCTTAATCATTCCATCCTTTTGTGCTCCAGCAGCGTAGCAACTGCCTTCATTGCATCTCTTCTGCAGGGTAAGTAAATCTACAGGCATCTATGCTAATGCCTTTTACTTTCAAAGATTTATTTCCTAAGATGATGCCTTTTTTTAATTTAAATGATACTTGTTCATAATTTTTTTAAAAACCAGAAATGTTATCTACAGACTTTTAAAATATCTTGTTTCCAATATTTATATTTCTTACACATAAACCTTAGTGGAGAACAGGCTCTCTGAGCGGTCTCCTGGCCTTAGGTACCCTGGTACAGTTCCCAGACAGGATCAGGAAAATGAGAAACTCCTTTCTGGAACTCATCTTGTCAGTTGAGTAACAAGGATTCCAGACGTTGTGAGTTCCAAAAGCAGTTCCTTCTGTTAAAATCTTTTAAAGTTTCAGATTTCAAAAAAAAAGTTCTTCACTAGCTCTGTGGCAATATAATATAACCATATGCTTAGCACAGCATATTGTTGGCTGTGGAATTTGAGAAAACCAAAAGTTTTAAAAAGGTAACTACATTAGAAATTTTCAGTTGGGATATAATTTTTAATATTTATTTATTAATATGAACTTTACACAGAGAACTAGATTATTATGGAATCAAAAAGATTTGGTTCTTTTTATATTCGCCATCTTTTTACCCTAGTATCACCAGCAAAGTTAAAAATAGAAGACTCTCAGATCAGGTGATCATATAATGAAGCTACGTTTTTGGCTAGGTTCTTTCCCAGAATTTAGAGAATTTAATTCTAGTTAAGACTTGATTTCTAAAATATTTTCCAGCATTTTTTTTTTTTTAGTACTTAAATTATATCAGGGGTAGTTTCTTGTCTATACAGTCATATGCTGCATAATGATGTTTCGGCCAACAAGGGACCCCACATGCGATGGTGGTTCCTAAGAATATAATGGGGCCGAAAAATTCCTGTTGCCTAGTGACATCATAGTCATCGTAATGTCGTAGTGCAACACATGTCTGTGGCGATACTACATTGCCAGTCATGTTAAAGTTATAGCAAATATAATTACCTACAGTACATAATACTTGGTAATGATAATAAACAACTATGTTGCTAGTTTATGTATCTGCTATACTATTTATTATTATTTTAGAGTGTACTCTTTCTACTTATAAAAAAATTGCTGTACAACAGTATGATGCGTTACGTGGGCAGCAGCCTCGTACATCTCATATTTACTGTCTTGATTGCATCATTTTCTCTGATGCTAGATTTAATTTCATGTTGTTTTGTATAGTAACATGATGTACAGGCTAGCCTAGGAGCAATAGGCTATACGATTTAGCCCAGGTGAAGTACCATCTAAGTTTATACAAGTGCACCCTATGATGTCCACACAACAAAATTACCTAACAATGCATTTCTCAGAATGCATTCCCCTCATTAAGTAACATATGACAGTATACAGAAAGACTAGGGTTGAACAGAGTCAACAATGGTCAAAGTGAGCGAAATTAAGCTATTAGAAAATTAATTTCTGATGGAAAAAAATGTTAAAGCATTAGCACTTGATTTAGGCTATTTGCTTCTGTTTTTCTAATTTTGTTTCACAAAATTGCTTTAAAAATTTCAGTCTAGTAAGTAGCTGTATTGCCTAGAATTTTCAAAACCATAAAATTTCAGATTTTAAAAACATTTGTTTAATGCTTCTTACTCTGAATAATGTATGTTCTAATTTTATGGTAACTTGCCCTTTGTAACCACCTTAATGTATGTAGAGCAGATACTATTAACCACCTGTTGCAGGTGAGAAAACTGACTCAGGGAAGGAAGGTGACCTGTCCAATTTCATCAGCTTGTTCACAGAAAAATCATGTTTAAAACCTGTTCCCTGACCCCTAGCTCTTTTCATTGGTTCATGATGGCAAAATAAATTTTTTCAGTCGAAATGATATAGATGGCATCCTTTCATAGAACTTTCCATATCAATCTGTAAATGTGCTGATTTTGAAAAAAAATTATGTATGATTACATCTTGATTGATTATTGCATAATACATTTAAAAAACTTTTCTGCTTTTGCTTCCATGATATTATGGGAAAGGTAAGTCCATAGATTGAAAAAGCCTCCAGAATATAATATGGGAGACATTGTTTGAAGCAAGACAAAAATTCTACTTTTAATAATTTGGCTTTATAAGATAGTAGAAAAAACACTGGACTAGAGTTGCTTACAATCTATATGTCCTTAGGCAAGAATTTAAACCCCTCCCAAGGCATCAGATTTTTTATCTATAGAATGAGTTTGCTAGAATAAAATCATTTAGAGTCATTTTCAGTCTAAAAATGCTCTAAGATCCTGTTTTTTAATAGCCATATTTCGGTTTTCATATTGATTTTTGATTAGCACATAAGTAAACTAATATTAAATTGTCTCTCCACTGCATGCCCTTAATGAGTTGTGTCAGCATGAGAAAATCTATACAATTAGGTATGGATATAAATGTTATCATTTTTCTCTCATTTTTATGATTCAGGAAAATAAAGATTTAAAAGTATAAGTACACAGCCACATGTTCATCTTCCGTTTTTAGTTATAGGAGCCTAGACAGAAACCTTGGGTTTAGGGAGCATTTGAGATCTTGCTCCCCAGCATATTTCATCAGTTTGGCTCAAATAAATTCTTATTAAAAAAACAAAACAACAACAAAAAAGACTTTGGGTTTAAAGAATATCCTTTACAAAGACAGCGTCTTATGTTCTGTCCTCGTGTTCAAAATTTAATTACTTCCCTCCTTTTAATATTTCAACACTCTTGAATAATAAAATAAAGCAAACATTTCTGACTACCACTATGTAAACAAATCCGTTTTTATTGCTATGCATATAAATATCACTTACCTTTCTTTGACATTTTCATGCTTTATTTGAGGGTTAAAATAAAATCTTTGGGTTTGATACACACTAATACATTACATCTATGGCATACACATTACTAAATATGAAAAATTAATGTTATTTTACAGTACGTTTTCAGGTCTCTAAAGAACTTCTCAAATCTTCTGTGATTCCCCACTTGGAATTTGTTGAAAGGCATTCTGTCACAGCATTAGTGTAAAATGTTTTATTTGCTTTAGTCAGCTTATTTAAACAGTTTGACTGGAACTGATATGCTGTTTGTCTAGCCTATATATTTCAGTGTTCAAGGGGATTCATTGTCTTTAAAATCATAGCATAAAAGTAATGAATTTTCTTTCTTCTAGGAATAATAATGGTTGGAGTTATCGTTGGTTCAAAGAAGACTGGCATAAATCCCGATAATGTTGCTACACCCATTGCTGCTAGTTTTGGTGACCTTATAACTCTTGCCATATTAGCTTGGATAAGTCAGGGTTTGTACGCCTGTCTTGGTAAGTTGAATTGAAATGAAATATAATGTGTTATTCAGAGTATCTTTAAATAAATATTGTTATAGCAATGCCATGAATCCGTGGTGGCCTTCATCAGTATGAGAGCTGTGGTCGAGACCAATTAGAACAATAACTGCCATTTGTTGTACACCTACTATGTGTTATGGTTCTCATACATTTTTTCTCTCATATTTTAAAACTCTATAAAGATTATTATCTATCTCCAATTTCAAATGAGAAAACTGAGAATCATACAGATTATGTATGTTACCCACTCCTGATAGGAAGGTTAAACACAGGTCTGTCATATTCCGTGACTTCTGCCTTTTCCTCTAAATATGTTGCGACCGAGGAATCAACCTATAGTGTTCTGATAATGTGTGTGGTGCTGCTGTCTCAGAACATGAGGTTATGGTGGTGCTTGAAACTTAGTGATTTTCCCCCCATCAGAAACCAGTGTGCTTTAACAAAAAGAAAAAAAAAATCCCCATGAAAATTAACCCGAATGCTGTGTGAAGTTGGAATCATCTTATATATGTGATTCCTGAGAATAGTGATAGAGTATTGATAGACTGATGAATTGTTTTAATACACATGTATACTCTGGGACTACTATCAATGTAAATGAATATGATTTGTGAAAATTGGTTTAGTGCTAAAAGTTGGGTGTGGTTCATTTTTTTAGATGCCAAATTTAAAAACTTAAAAGAAAATAGAAACCTTCAGAAATGAAGAAAAAAAGGGGGGGGGAGTTTATAAGCAAAACCAGAAGCATTTATTTACATATCCTCATATATTTTCATCAATTCTCTACAGATTTATGGTATACACTTTAGACTGAATCTAAAGTACCTTCGGTTTGAAGAAGAGCCTCAGGTGTTTTTGAACTAGAGAAAGGGTTTTAACCTAACAAACTCAGGAATTTTCTACTGCTTTTGGAGCTATCTAGGAGGCTTCATTTATATAAAACTACCTTAATTATTTTCTGAATGGCATAAAAACAATATGTAATAAGACTTAATGTATATGTTCAAAAACTGATCTTCTCATTTAGAAAAGATTTTCCATTTGAAGTAAGGTAGAAGACAATAAATGACCAATGCCCCGAATGTAAGACCTTGTTTTCCTAGGTCTTGGGTTTTTGTTGTTTTTGTCAAATGTACAAGGAATGATAGAAATTCATGTATATTCAGGGTAATCTTCAATTTCTCTCCCAGTCAAAGAAAAACAGCATAGAAAATGAGAGTTATGTTATTAAAGGGATAATCTGCTCTAATTTGTATTCTTGGGATGATAATTGGTCATACTTGTCTCCTCTAAATTATTATACAGTTTAGCAACTGATGCTCACTAAAGTCAGGAAGGGCAATATTAGCTTATGGCTATTATCAGAGAATGTGACTTAATGTTGTTCTCTTACCGTGTTAAACTTATTCCCCAGCTCAAAGGCAGACAGCTGGACAACTTGTAGGCCTCGCCCCTGCAGGAACAGGCTGCTAACTGTGTTGGGGAAGGGAGACTGCCATCAATAGGCTGGATCCCAAAAGAGAAAGGCACGCGTTAGGCATGCTTAGTGCTTTTCCCAAATCTTACCTAGTAGATAATTCTCTCCCACTTTGAGGAGCAAGTAAGAGAGAAGGAGGGAGAAGTAGAAGAGGGTGAAGGGTTTCTTCTTAATATTAAGAGGATAGAAATTCTATTAGTCCGGCCAGGAACATTGTGGGTGCAGGTGGGAATGGGGCTGCAGGGGTGGTAGTGGTTCTCGGATGAATTCTCCTACATACCTAAAAAAGTAAGGTATATTATTTGCAGACTTGGGGACTTAAATTACCATGTGGTCATTTGTAACACATTTCTCAGCTGCTTGCTAAATACCAGGTGTCTCCTCAGTTCAAGCCACAGTGGTAAGAAAGTAAGAAAGAGAATATCATCAAAGAATGTTATCATAATAAATATGAAAGTGTTATAATGATACAGACCTAAGTTTTGTGAGATTATGGAAGGTAAATCAACTTTTGAGGAAAATAATGTGTGCCGACTTGTCAACAAGTGATAAACTCTCCTTATAAAAAACTTAATCATAATGTATTGCCATCTAAAGCTTTCGGTTTTCGAGTGTTATATATGATTGGTAGCTTAACTGGATCAAGAAATAAAGTGAAATGGAGTGATACCATCAGAGACCTTAATTTTGAAAAACAATTTTATTATTAAATATTGCGTAGGCTTTTCTAGGCCTTTACTCCTGAAAGTTGTCTCAGAGCAATTCAAGATGAATTAAAATAGGATCTTTTAAATTTCATCTGTATAATTTATTTCCCTAAAAAGATGTTATTTTTAATAGGCTACTATGGTCCTGTGATTTATAAGAAACATATATTTAGTCATTCAGTTCACAATATATTTCTCACCTATACTCAGTCTTTGTCCAAGACTCCTGAATCACAGCTTCCCAAACCCTTGGAATTTTCTAAGCAGTAAGGGCAATGGGAGCATCTTTTGTCATATCTCATCATAATATCTTGTCCTGAGTTCCTGAAATTGCTTCAGAGCCATGAAGGTGAGACAGGTGTCTTATTATTCATAACAAGCCCCTTCTCACCACAACTTTATATAATGAGGTGACTTTTGGAAAGCACCTAAGGATGGGGGGCTGGTTGCTAGGGGAACCATCTGAGAATAGAGGGTCGGAACTGTTCATGCCTTTGTAATGAAGCCTCCATAAAAACTCAAAAGGACGGGGTGCAGAGAGCTTCCGGTTGGTGAGCGCTGTGGAGATTTGGGGAGGGTTTTGCTCTCAGAGAGGGCATGGGAGCTCCACATCCCTTCCCCACACCTGGCCCTATGCATCTTTCTTCCATCTGGCTGTTCCCAAGTTATATCCTTTTATAATAAATTGGTAATCTAGTAAGTAACATGTTTCTCTGAGTTTTGTGAGCCACTCTAGAAAATTAATTAAACCCAAGGAGGAGGTCATGGGAACCTCTGACTTATAGCCATTTGACGAGAAGCATAAGTGACTATCTGGACTTGGCGATTGACATCTGAAGGTGTAGGAGGGTGGGGAGGGAGTCTTGTAAGACTGAACCCTTAACGTATGGAATCTGATGCTGTCTCTGGCACATAGCATCAGAATTGAGTTGAGTGATAGGACGCCCAGCTAGTGTTGGAGGGTTGCTTGGTGGTGTGAGAACCCCCCAATCCCCCACCCTCACACTGGAATTGGTACTAGAATCATAGCTTCTTATTGATTCCATAGTTTGTTTGTTTATTAAATTTATTTGGGTCATATTGGTTTATAAAATAATGTCTGTTCCAAGTGTATAATTCAATAATATGTCATCTATATACTGCATAGTCTGTTCACTACCCAAAGTCAGATCTCCTTCCGTCACCGTATATATTTGACCCCCTTTACCCTTCTCTACCTCTGCCTCCCACTCCCCCGCCGCCTTTCCCTCTGGTAACCACTAAGCTGTTGGCTGTGTCTCTGAGGTTTTGTCTGTCTTGTTCATTTGTTGCTTTCAGTTTTATATTCCACATAGAACTGAAATCACGGTTAACTTTTTCTTTGACTTATTTTGCTTAGCATGATAATCTCAAGATCCATCCATATTGTCACAAATGACAGTATCTCATCTTTTCTTATTGCCAAGTAATATTCCATTGTATATATGTTACCAGTTGATTTGGTAGTTAATGGTTTTTCTGAAGTGTCAGTGTTCGCATTTCTCAAGTATCTGCATTGTGAGCACTAGGGGGCCTCATAAGATCAGCAGTTGTAAGCCTAGTATTAGCGGTATTATGAGTACAAAGATTGGGAGCTGGCACATTTAAACCTCGAGACTTGTTCATCCTGCCGACATGCCTAGTTCTTGGAAACAGAGTTTAATTCCTGAACAATATTGGAAACACTGAGCAG